GAGACAAAGTCTCACTGTGTCACCCAGGCTGGAGTGCAGTGGCGCGTTCTTAGCTCACTGCAAGCTCCGCCTCCCGGGTTAACGCCATTCTTCTGCCTCAGCCTCCTGGAGTGATTATTTAAGGCCTTGTACTGGTTGACTCTTTCAGCTGCATCATGAACTTTAAATATATGCCAAATAATTAACTTTTCTTTTTGGAAAAAAGTTAACAAGTTTTCTCTTAAAACTCCAACTGAAATCTCCACATGGTAATTTTCTGTGGTTGCTCAGTTGTTGTCCCTTACAGTGGCACTTTTACATCGCTTTTCCTTAATTACCTGTAATTGTAGACAATCTGGACAAAGAAACAGAAAATGAGTGTGAGTCCTGTATCTACGTCTTATCAGCTGTGGGATTTCCTCTGTGTAAAATGGGTGCCATCAAACCTGTTTTCCTGGGTATCTGAAAGTTCAGTGAGAATAGCATTTATGAAAATGCTCTGTGAATTCTAAAAATTAATGGCCCATGAAACAGTCTTCCAGATTCGGGATGAAGCAGTTTAAATATCTGAGAGCATTCGTCTCCTTTTTTCTCAATATCCTTGTCTTTGTTATTTTTTTATTTTTATTTTTTCTCTTTACCTGAGTTAAGGGAATTTTCCTGTTGAAATCTTCAAGGTCACTTTCGGCTGAGCTGGACTGGGCATGCTTCTTTCAAATCTGTGTTCTCCAGTGACCCAGAAATGTTTGTTTTCTGACAGTAAACCACATTATTTTGCACCCAAAATGAAGCTTACTTATGCCAAAAATTACTGCTGAAATTGATTATTTCCATCTGTGGGGGAATTTTTTTCACATTAGGTTCATTTGTCAAGGTTACAGCTGAAGCTATGATTAGTTACTTGTAGACTGGGAAGTTAAGTTATGTAAAATTAGAAATAGCCATTCGTTTATGCTAAAAATTATTATCACGGGAGATTATCACTGTGCTGTTACAGTGAACACATGTTGGCAGTGTTAGTGAGTGTCTTCTTTATTAAAGCATGTTCAACAAAACTTCTGTTCAATAAAAGCTTCTATGGATGAGAAGCTAATTAATGAAGTAAAGAAAATGAATTTTTGTTGAAGGGATGGCCTTGCTGCTGCTGATTGCTTAGTTACCTGAACTTGTTTGAAACCAAAGGAGAATTTACATACTGTGTTTAGAAAATGAGCCCTCAAAAACAACAAGCCCTGCAAAAGGGGATCATAGATTTACTGAACAGAGACTATACACATGTTAAATGTACAGGGTTTTTTTCTTCTCTTTAAGTGACTGACCCCAGGAAAAATGCTAAGGGCCTCCCCAGAGTCACTGGCCTAGGCTGGGCTTGGCCCCACAGAAAGTATAAAGGTGTCATGGAGGTGATCAGCAGCAGTGTCTTTTCAGATGTTCAACTTGGAAACCCAGGAGTCAAACATGATCTCTTTCTCACCCCTCACGTTCAGTTGTCCATCTAATGTATTAATTCTGCTTCTTCAATGACTGTGGAATTCCTCCACTTCCCCCTCTCCTCAGTGGTACCATGCTGATCCAGTCAACCACCATTTCATGATGGAACGTGCGATGATTTCCCTGCCTCCAGTCTCCCCACTTCATGTAATCTAATCTTCATTGCAGTGGAACCTTCTGAAAATTCAACCTTCATTTCAAACTCTCCAGTCACTCCCTATCATCTTTATAAAGTATTAAATAGTTCCAATTCCTTAACATGATTTTTAAGACCCTACAGAGGCAGACTCCTGATTGCTCTCTCCTGCCTTATCCTACACCTCTCCCCTGTCCTACTCTGCCCTCCAGCCTTTCACTTTTTTTTCATTCATTCATTCATTCATTCATTCAGAGACAGGGTCTTGCTTTGACACCCAGGCTGGAATACAGTGATGTGATCATGGCTCACTGCAGCTTCGAACTCCTGGGCTCAAGTGATCCTCCTGCCTCAGCCCCCTGAGTAGCTAAGACATGCCACCAAGCCCAGCTAATTTTTTAAAAATTTCATACAGATAGTGTCTCGCTGTGTTGCCAAGGCTAGTCTCAAACTCCTGGCCTCAAAAAATTCTACTGCCTCAGTCTCCCAAAGTGTTGGGATTATAGGTGTGAGCCACCCTCAGTGATTCCAGCCTTTTAGTTCATCATTCATTCCATGTTCTTTCCCTTGACGAAGAGCACTTTCTCCCTGCTCCCAAATTTTCCTGCCTGATCCTGTCCAGTTCTTACTGATCCTTCCAGTCCAGCTTAAACATGGGTTTTCCTACAAGTCTTCTCTGCTCAGCCTAGTGATGCTGTTGTCTGATACATGACAACTTCTGTACTCACACAGTCAAGCGTTTTTCTGTACTAGGAGCTAAATTTTCCTTGAGAAGTCAGGGAAGAAGCACAGTCAACCAGTCAGGCTTTCCTGAGTTCAAATCTTGACCCTGGGCAAGGCATTTAACCTCTTTAAGTTTCATTTATGTATCTTTACAATAAGCCTTGGTGGTAGTACCTAAGTCATAGGGCTTTCACGAAGACCAGAGAGAATGGTCTGTGTAAAGTGCCAGCAAATGGCACGTACTCGGCAAATGTCAGCTACTGTTATCATGTCCATTAGATCTACAGGTCCATAATCAACTGACAGCTTAGGACAGCTGCTCTACAAATACCTGCTGGATATTGTAACCTCTAATTCATAGGAAATTTTGGAATGTCTGAGGGCTTGGTTCTTTAATATCTTATATTTTCCTCATGTTCTCATTCCTGTTCTCTAGCTTTTCTCATTCCAATGCATGCCTCAATACATTCTGTATGCTGATGGCTCCCAAATGCATACTCCAACCCACAACCCTCCCCTGAATTCCAGACCGTCTCTCTATCTACTTAGACATCTAACAGATGTATCAAACTTGACATGTGCAAACAAGCTCCTCAGAGAGTCCCTGAATCCACTCCTGTCTTCCCCACCTCAGTTCATGGTGGCACCATTCTCTCCTTGCTTAGGTCAGAAAGCCTGGTGCCATCCTGACCTCTCCTTTCAGTGAGTCCTGTCAGTCAACATTCCACATATATCCCAAGTTCTACCCCTCCTCCCCGCTGCACTGCTGCCACAGGCCCAGCCACCATCACTCTTACCTCAGTTACCACCACAGCCTCCTCCTAGGCCTGCCTGCCACTGCTCTCCCCCCACCCCTCCACCCACATCAGTCTGTACTCAAGACAGAAACCAGTAGTGAAGCTGGGCATGGTGGTTCATGCATGTAATCCAAGCACTTTGAGAGGTGGAAGTGGGAGTATCACTAGAGTTTAGGAGTTCAAGACCAGCCTGGGCAACATAGCAAGACCCCATCTCTACAAAAAAATTTTTTTTAATTAGCTGGGCATGGTGGCATGCACCTGTAGTCCCAGCTACTTGGGAGACTGAGGTAGGAGAATTGCTTGAGCCCAGGTGGTCAAGGCTGCAGTGAGCCATGATTGTGCTATTGTACTCCAGTCTGGGTGACAGAGCGAGACCTTGTCTCAAAAAAAAAAAAAAAAACCACACAGTAGCAAACTTATCCAAATATCATTGCAACCACATCACTACATCACTCCTCTGACCAACAGTTAAGTGGCCTTCACCTCACTGGTAAGTCTAACTTTGATGTTTGAGGCCTCAGATGGTGCTCCTCAGACCTCATCTAGTCCAGCCACCGTGGCTCCTCTCTGTCCTTAGAATGTGCCAGGGCCTTTGCACATCCTGGAAATCTCACATCCAGACATCTCCTTGGTGAACTCCCTCACTTATGACAGGATTTTACTCCAAAGTCACTTTCTGGAGCACTTCTCTGGCCAAGTTATCTAACATTTCAGCCCCTCCCCAGCACTGCAGAGCCCCCTCCCAGCTTTATTATTTCTCCATCCAACCTAGTGTTTGCCATCTTGTTTACTCATGGACTTTGATTGCTGCCTATCTTTTTCACTCAAATGTCAGTTTCCTGGTGTGTAGGAATTCTCCCTTTTATCTCCCCAGCTCTGAGAACAGTGCCTGGCACACAGTAGATCTCAAGAAATATTATTTGAATGAATGAGTGATACAATATCTACCTAAAGTTCAGCTAAGAGGAACAGACTATCTCATTCACTCCTCTAGATACTTGCACAATTTCCATAGAAATTAAGCTAGAACAGAAAGCCTCGGTCTCTAGGAGAATAATATTAGTGCCTACCATCTACCGATCCTTTACTATGTACCTGGAGTGGCAGGGAGCATGTGAGGAGCACAGTGAGTCACTGAGAGGTTAGGAAATGTGCTCGAGATGACAGATGGAACGTGACTGTACCACTTATGTGGTCCCCAGAATGTTCATTCACCTGGATCTGCTTTGCACTGAGGTTCATGGGCTGTGGTGAGGGACCATAGAGCAATCGGCCCTGGGAATCCCATCATTTATTTTATTTTATTTTATTTATTTATTTATTTTTAAAATAGAGATACCATCTCACTATGTTCCCCGGGCTGGTCTTGAACTCCTGGGCTCAAGCGATCCACTTGCCTCGGCCTCCCAAAGTGCTGGGATTACAGGCGTGAGTCACTGTACCCGGCTAACCCCATCATTTTGACTCATGTATGGATGCTGTTGAGAAGACATTTTGTACTGCTTTTTCTATTTCCTTGCATCCGAAAATGTAGTTGGCTTTTTTACTTATGTGACACTGAGAATTTTGTTAGTAATGAATGTGACACTGAAAATTTTGTTAGTAATGAGCATTTTTTAAAATTTGACACTAGAAAACTTAAAGACAACAATATGCCCCACCCCACCCCTATATATATATATCAGGCTTTGTGGTGTGAAGTTAACACACGTTTTCTTTTGACCTTCTCGTGTATGTCTAGTTTCTGTTTATTTGTGGTATTTTATGACTCTCGTAAGCTTCTTTGATCTCTGGGAAGAAGGCAGGGTGTGAAAACGTTACGTGTCCTCTTTCCGTGCCTTGTATGGTTAACTCTAACAATCGTCATTTAGGAAGTAGAAGCACAGCTGGAGGAAGTGAGGAAGAAATCAGAAAAGGAGATAAAGCAGCTGGAAGAAGAGAAAGCAGCCCTCAATGTGAAGCTCCAGAACTCTCTGCTCGAGGTAAGCCCTGAACAAATGCAAGCCTTGGGGTGCTGTTTCTGGTCCCTGGGAGCTTCTGCCTAACTGAGAAGCCAAGAATTTTGGAAGACAGAAAAAGACACTCAGCCAGACAGGAAGGCTGTCTCAGGGGACATGCAGTTAGCTGCAAGTAACAGAGAACCAGATTAGAGGTTCTTAAACAAAGAGGCCTTTAATGTCTCAAATAAGAGAAGGAGGCCACTGGTGTTGGTTCTGTGGCTTCATGAAGGCACAAGTGGGTAACCTGCAGTTCCCCTGCCTTTCCTTCCCCAGGGCTACATTCGCCCCTTTGTGGGCTCTTAGCAATTTTGCCTTTCTAGGCCCTTCCTTTATTAAAAAATATTAAAAATTTATATTTTATGACTGCAGTGGTAGAAATATGAGTATCATCCAGACTATACATTTTTCTGATTTTAAAAGAAATTAACACATTTTCATGGGCACCCGAAAGTATCAAAGAACTAGTGGAAAAGGCTAGAAACAGAATCCTAAGAGCCATTTCTGAGCCTGCTTAAACCAAAAAAATGTCAACAAGTTTCATTCCTTCCCCTGTCCTCCCTCAAACCTTCCAGATGAGACCTGTGTCTCCCATCTGCTTCAGGAACCCATGACACCAGTTCCTCAGCCCTGCTGTACATCACAACCTCTGGGGTATTTTTAAGAACACAGAGGCCACGCGCAAAACAGTATCGATTGTTTAGGAATAGCCAAGAGGTCAATCTAAACAAAGCACGAGGATGATAGAATCAAATTGGGCCAGTGGTTATCTCTAGAAGGGAGAGAGTGTAAGGGGCTGCAGCTGTATTTGTGACATGTTATTTCTTTAGCTGAGTGATGAGTACACAGGTGTGATGTTTTCTCTAACTCCTTCTATTTCTAAAATCATTGTTTTAAAAAATGATGAGCGGCCGGGCGCGGTGGCTCACGCCTGTAATCCCAGCACTTTGGGAGGCCGAGGCGGGCGGATCACAAGGTCAGGAGATCGAGACTGCAGTGAAACCCCGTCTCTACTAAAAATACAAAAAATTAGCCCGGCGCGGTGGCGGGCGCCTGTAGTCCCAGCTACTCGGGAAGCTGAGGCAGGAGAATGGCGTGAACCCGGGAGGCGGAGCTTGCAGTGAGCTGAGATCAGGCCACCGCACTCCAGCCTGGGCGACAGAGCGAGAGTCCATCTCAAAAAAAAAAAAATGATGAGCATGTCATTCCTTAGACTTGATATTTCAGGGTCTAGAGGTAGGTCTTGGTGAAAAGTTCTGGGATAGAGTCTTCTGGTCCAGCCCAGACCAAGGTGGGACTGCACAGCAAAGAAGCCTTTCTCTCTCCTTCCTCCTTTCTGCCCTGTTGTCCTCCCTTCCTCCTGCCTTTCCCTCACTCCCTCCTCCTTCACTTCTCCCTCCCTCCATCTCTTCCTCTCACCATGTTGAAGATACACTGCCAGTCTTCCTGTTGTACCTGGACCACACCTTGCTGCAGAGCTTAAGGTGGCCTCATGTACATGTATGAGACCAACCGAGTTATTTGTTTTTTTGGTTTGTTTTTTTTGGGACAAGTCTCGCTCTGTCGCCCAAGTGGAGTGCAGTGGCGTGATCTTGGCTCACTGCAACCTCCGCCTCCCAGGTTCAAGCAATTCTCCTGCCTCAGCCTCCCAAGTAGCTGGGATTACAGGCACCTGACACCACGCCTGGCTAATTTTTGTATTTTTAGTAGAGATGGGGTTTCACCGTGTTGGCCAGGATGATCTCAACTTCTTGACCTTGTGATCCACCTGCCTTGGCCTCCCAAAGTGCTGGGATTACAGACCCAGTTATTCTTTTGAATAACACAGGTCAGGGAAGCCTGGGCCCTGACCTATTTCTGTGAATGTGCCTTAGAGCTCTTTTTTTTTTTTTTTTTTAAGCGGAATCTCACTGTCACCCAGGCTGCAGTGCAGTGGCATGATCTCAGCTCACTGCAACTTCTGCCTCCCAGGTTCAAGCAATTCTCCTGCCTCAGCCTCCCAACTAGCTGGGATTACAGGAGCATGCTACCACACCTGGCTAATTTTTTGTATTTTAGTAAAGACAGGGTTTCACTGTGTTGCCCAGGCTGGTTGCGAACTCCTGAGTTCAGGTGATCCACCCACCTCTGCCTCCCAAAGTGCTGGGATTACAGGCGTGAGCCACCGCACCTGGCCCTATTGCTGTAAATTCTATGCAGTAGTACCTACCTTATAATGGCTGTTGTGAAGATTAGAAGAGTTAATACTGTAAAAGGCTTAGGTTCCTGGCTGGGCGTAGTGGTTCACCCCTATAATCTCAGCACTTTGGGAGGCTGAGGTGGGAGGATCTCTTGAGCCTAGGAGTTTGATACCAGCCTGGGCAACATAGCAAGATCCCATCTCATTTTTTAAAATAATAATAATTTTTTTTAAAAGGCTTAGATTCCTGGGTGGCACAGAGCAAATGGACCATTCAGGAGGTGCTCTTATTATGTTATACGTATCTCTACTGGGTGTCATTGGGGTTATAAACATTTATCTATCCCCCTCATAAAATGATAGCTTTTTAAAGGCAGGGACCATGCTTTATGCTTTTACTATCTTGCTCTCACTCTGTCCCCTCCCCATCCTTCCTTGTACCTAGCATGGTGCCTAACTAGTATTAAGGTTTCTAGAAAAATTTGAGGAAAGTCCAAGTTTCCTTTATGTTTTCTGGCCTCATTCTCCTCAAAGTCTAGGGGAAAGCCGTCTGTTTAATTCATATATTACAATTAGTTGGTTAATCATCATCATCATAATTAAGGCCTTACACTTTAAGAGCACCCCCAAGCCACTCTTCTCTCATTTTATCTACATAATTCTTAAATGTTGTTCATTTTCTTTACCAATTAGCTTTTTTGTTTTGTTTTCAAAAGAAATTGAGTGGCCTTCCGGGAATGATATGAAAGCCACCCTACAGATCTAGTATAGAAATATGTATGTAAATAACTTAAAGGAAACTGTGGAATACTATAAACCTGCTGGGCACATTTTCTTCTGGAAAGACTAAGCAACTAGCTCATTAGACATGGCGTTTCTAGGCCTGGCGCAGTGGCTCACGCCTGTAATCCCAGCACTTTTGGAGGCCGAGGCAGGCAGATCGCTTAAGGTCAGGAGTTCGAGACCAGGCTGGGCAACATGGTGAAACCCCGTCTCTACTAAAAATACAAAAAATTAGCTGGGCATGGTGGTGCATACCTGTAGTCCCAGCTGCTTGGGAGGCTGAGACAGGAGACTCGCTTGAACCTGGGAGGTGGAGGTTGCAGTGAGCCAAGATTGCGCCACTGCATTCCAGCCTGGGTGACAGAGTGAGACCCTGGCTCAAAAAAAAGAAAAAAGAAAAAACCGGTATTTCTAGAAGTGTGTGTAAAATTTGCCTAATGGGGCACTCTTCCCAGAACAGACTGACCCAGGAGAATTGATTCCCGGAAGAATGACTGTGTCAAGGAGGCAGAACTTGGTTTCATTGCGTGGTGTTTCTTATCTCCTCTTTTAGGTTTTAAGGCTGGAAGAATTTATCCAACAAAATAAGGCACGCCCCACAAGAGCTGAGGAAAGGCCCCAGGAATTAGGCTGCCAGCGCTGCAGCATTCTGGAGACCCAGGTAACCTCCAGCTTTGTCAGATTTAATTGAAGATATTTCTCTTCTCAGTCTCAGCCTTTCAGTGTCCCCAGTGACGCATGTTGATGTTAATGGGCTCTTTTACATCTCCCCTCGACACTGCCAAAATGCCTGGAAAAAAAAAAAAATCACCACAAAATCCATTCACAGAAACCACGAAGGAAATAGAATTCTGACTAATTATCTGGGTGGTTTGAAAAAGAATAAGGCCTGTCAGATGAGTCTCCACGCTCTCAGAGCAGCCTGCCTGGCGGATAAAGGGCGCACTCAACTGGAGCAGGGCCTTTGATTCTGCCCAGCACGAACCCCAGTAGTCGTCATAAAAGCCCCTCTCTTGCCCCCGCTGCCTCCCTCCACAGCCACATCTCATTTACTCTCACAGCAGCCCTTGTCCGTGAAGCTGCCCTTTCAGGGACGCCGCTTGAGGGTAGAAACTGGTTAGTTTGTGTCTCTGTCTGGCCTGCGGTGGGTTGTATTGTTCTCTAGGATCACCATAATGAATGACCGCATACTTGGTGGCTTCAGTGATGGAAATGTACTCTCTCACAGTTCTGGAGGCCAGAGGTCTGAAATCAAGGTGTTGGCGGGGTTGGTTTATTTTGGAGGCTGCAAGGGAGAACCTGGTCTGTGCCGCTCCCCTCGCCTCTGGTGGTTGCTGGGCAATCCTGGTGTTCCTTGGCTAGTCTTCCTTGCAGACGCGTCACTCCGGTCTCTGCCTCCGTCATCACATGGTCTCCTTCCCCGAGCGTCTGAGTCTCTGTGTCTTCACATAGCCTTCTTATAAAGACACCAGTCATTGGAATTAAGGCACACTCTACTACGGTATGACTTCATCGTAACTAATTGCATCTGCAAAGATCCTATTTCCAAATAAGGTCACATTCATAGGTACCGGGGCTTAAGACTTCAGCATATCTTCTTAGAGACACAGCCTAACCCACAAGATAGGCACTCAGTGAACATTTGTTGTACCATGTCAGGAATATAAATAATCCCTGTGAAGTGGGCGCTTGAGTACCCTGGCTTGAATAACCCTCTTAATTCCTGTTTTGGCAGCAAGAGAGCCAAAAAAAAAAAAAAACCCCTCAGCCTTCAATTTCACTTATTTGATTGTTGCCTGCAATTTTCAGGCCATTTCAAACTCCAAGCGGGAAAACACTACATGGTGAGTCTGAATCTTCCCACATCAGTCTCACCAGTCTCTTGTTTACCCATTTCTGTGTACACGGGTGTCCTCAGGAACTGCAGTTTCTCTCCCATGACCCCCATCTTCCAGGGCTCAGGCCCTGGTCCTGCCAACAGCCCCCATGACATACTCCTCTGGGATAACCCCCAGTCAACCACATATTCACCAGGGCAAGAAACAGCCAAAATCTAGTGACTGTGGATTTAAATAATAATTAACATTTGTATGTGAACTGGTCAGTCGTAGAGCACTGTTCTCATCTTTGGCTTCATTGGAGTTTTTTGTTTTTGAGACAGAGTGTCTTGCTCTGTACCCCCGGCTGCGGTGCAGTGGTGCAATCATGGCTCACTGCAGCCTCGACCTCCTGGCCTCAAGCGATCCTCCCACCTAAGCCTCCCGAGTAGCTGTGATCTCATATGTGTGCCACCATTAGTAGAGACGGTGTTTCATCATGTTGACCAGGCTAGTCTTGAACTCCTAACCTCAGGCGATCCTCCTAAAGCGATGGAATTACAGGTATGAATCAGCATGCTCAGCTTCATTGGAATTTTGCAACAACCCTGTAAGGCACCCATTTTACAGAAAAGAAAACTGAAGGTGAGGGCAGGTGACCTGCCCACAGTCACAGGCCGGTAAATAGCCAAGACAGGATGGAACCACGGGCTCTGATCCCCTCCACTCTCCATAAGAGCGGCACATGCCCAGGATGCCTTCCAGATAAAACAGGCCCCAGCTGTCACTGGGTTAAGGGGAGCAGCCAGGACTCTCTGGGTTTCCTCCTTCTTCCTCTGACACCCAGAAAAGGGGAGAATCCTTGAGCAGCCCTGTTGCCCCCGCTGCCCCCCGCCACTCCGGTAAACCTGGAAGAGAATCCTAAAGGAGCAGGGGCACCCTCATCCACAGGGCTTTCCCCTTCCTGATCTGAGGCTGTCCCCCTCCTTTCGGAAGATTTCTGCCTGAGGGAGGTGCAGATATTTTCATTCTCCTCGGTTTCTTAAGACCCAGTCTCATGAGCTGGCATTCCAGAGAACTTCTGGTCCCAGGGACAACTGCATCTTTCACCAGCACCATGTGGGGCTTCCCAGAAAGGTTGTCCTGAGATATTCAAGTATTTCTCAGCTCCTCAAAGTGACGGTGGCAGGGAAATGGACCGGAGTTGGCTGACATCCTTCTTGATGAAATTAAATCTGAAATAAGGTTGGTAAGCTGGAGACTGAATTAAAAAATGCAGTTCAGGAAGATTGTAGAGCAGGCCGTATTTTCGGAGGGAAAATAAACACGTAGAAGTTCTAGGTATGTTCCGGGGCTGATGACCCGAGTCTACCAGTCACGGTCACGATGTCCATGAGCCGGGGCTGCCACCACAGCTCAACTTCAGCACTTGACTTTGGGGTTGGATAATTCTTTGTTTTGGTGGGTTGCGGGGAGCTGTGCTGTGTGCTGCAGGATACATAGCAGCCTCCTTGGCCTTTACCAACACGATGCCAGTAGTACCCTCCCAACCAAAAATGTCTCCTGGGGGCAAAACTATCCCCAGTAGAGAACCACCTCTGTAGCTAAAAAAGCAAGTCCTGAGGAAGTCCAGAATACAAGTGCCTGTTAGGAACATGGGTTGGTCCACCAGGAAACTCCTCAGCCTTTTTTTTTTTTTTTTTTTTTTTTGAGACAGAGTCTCACTCTGTCACCCAGGCTGGAGTGCAATGACGCGATCTTGGCTCACTGCAACCTCCGCCTCCCGAGTTCAAGCTATTCTTCTGCCTCAGCCTCCCGAGTAGCTGGGACCACAGGTGTGCACCCATGCCCGGCTAATTTTTGTATTTTTAGTAGAGATGAAGTTTCACCATATTGGTCTATGTCTCGAACTCCTGACCTCATGATCCGTCCGCCTCGGCCTCCCAAAGTGCTGGGATTACAGGCGTGAGCCACCCCGCCCAGCCCTCCTCAGCCTTCTTAACCTAGAATGTTGTCTTTCAATGAGCTTGGTTTCTTTTTTTATTTTTTTTAAGTTCCAGGGTACATATGCAGGATGTACAGGTTTGTTACCTAGGTAAACATGTGCCGTAGTGGTTTGCTACACCTATCAACCCATTACCTAGGTATGAAGCCCAGCATGTATTAGCTCTTTTCCCTATTGCCCTCCCCCAAGAGGCCGCAGTAAGTGTTGTTCCCCTTCCTGTATCCATGTATTCTCATGGTTCAGCTCCCACTTATAAGCGAGAACTTGTGGTGTTTGGTTTTCTGTTCCTGTGTTCGTTTGCTGAGGATTATGGCTTCCAGCTCCATCCATGTCCCTGCAAAGGACATGATCTCATTCTTTTTTATGGCTGCACAATATTCCGTGGTGTATATGTACCACATTTTCTTTATTCAGTCTATCATTGATGGGCATTTGGGTTGGTTTGATGTCTTTGCTTTTGTGAATAGTGAATGAGCTTGGTTTCCAGAGGGAAGTGCAGATGCCTCCTCTATACCGTTGCAGCAGGAACCTCGACAAATATCAGTATCATTTGATTCAACTCAGTATGCACATTATTCATTCATTCTGCAGTTGTGTGTGCAACACCTGGGATATGCCAGCCTCTGAGCTGGATGCTAGAGGGAGAAGTGTGCATAAACAAATAGCTGGAAAACAATGTGGACAATTAGTAACAGCTTAAACATCTGGTGCTGTTTTCTATTAGGCATTTTGCAGGTATTGTTTGTTCTTTCAAATTAAGACCTCTTTTCAAATAAGCAATTCACATATGTGGTACAGAACTCAAATGGTATATAAAGGTATACATTGGAAAGCATCTTTCTTCTTGCTGCCAAGTTCCCTATCCCAGGGCAAACTACTGGCTGTGTTTTATCTTCTCTCTTTTTATATATCCTTTCAGAGATATACTGTATATACAGGCATAATTGTGGATTTTTAAAATATAAATGATAGCATACTCTCATGAAATCTTTTTTTTTTTTTTTTTTTTTTTTTTTTGGAGACTGGATCTTGTTCTGTCACCCAGAATAGAGTGTAGTCCTGGCTCACTGCAAACCTCAACGTCCTGCCTTAGCCTCCTGAGTGGCTGGGACTACAGGCACCCACCACCACGCCTGGCTAATTTTTGGGTCTCACTGTAATCCTCAGCTCACTGCAGTCCTGGCTCACTGCAATCCTCCTTGCTTGGGCTCAAGCAGTCCTCCTGCCTCATCCTCCTGAGTGGCTGAGACTACAGGTGCCCACCACCACGCCCAGCTAGTTTTTGTATTTTTTTGTAGAGATGGGGCTTCATCATGCTGTCCAGGCTGGTCTCAAACTCCTGGGCTCAAACCATCCACCCACCTCCGCCTCCCAAAGTGCTGGGATTGCTAACATGAACCACTGCGCCTGACCAATTCTGCTTTTCTTAACTTAAATTTTATAGCTTAGAGACACTTTTATAGCTCAGTACACTTCCCTTTCAGCTTCATTTTTTTTAAAAAAACAAACCAACCATCTAGTTCTCCCTTGTATAGAAAAACCATATTATATTGAACCATTCCCTTGTGATTGACATTTAGATTGTTTTCACATCTTTCTATTTTAGATAATACTTCAATGGATGGCACCATAGAGGGATATAATATAGTATAGTAGTTAAGCAAGCTCACCCCTGAACCAGACACCTGGGTTCTTACTGGCTGGATAATCTTGGACAAATAATTTGATGTCTCTTTGCTTCACCTTTCTCATTTATATGCCAAGGATGATGACAGCATCTACTCCAGAGGGTCTTTGTGAGGTCTAAATGAATTCCTATCTGTCTGGCGTTGGAAACAG